CAAGCCGATATACCGCGTTATACATTACACCGGAGAAATATACATAGAACTGCTCTGCCTCGCGATATATCTCGATCCGTGCATAAAGCTCGCTACGTATATATTGGAATTCCGCGCCGAGAGCCGCAAAGTACGTATATGCGACTGACAAGGAACGATTGCTCAATAACATACAAAGATAAAGAACGGCACGATTTATGGAGACACAGCAGCAGTAGCAGCAGTCGACTACTCACTTGAACTGTGCAGTCATCATAAATTGACGACTTCCCACGCGACGTTAAAGGTCGTCGCGCGGCTCTTTAATACGAATATGAATAGTAAAGCAGCTCGTTCCTCCTTCGTATAATATAAAGCAATTGCAGCGATCGAGACACAAACGTCTTATAATGTGTACATATAGGAGGCAAGGGTCCACCCGCTTACGTGCACTTTTTTATACGTTTGTGTGCAACAGCGCAGCGATCGCATTCGGTTTTGATCATCCTGCACAAATGCGATATGGGCCAATAAGACACACGAAGAGAAATAAAACGTGGCGCACGCGGTAGAGAAAAGAGACACACACGGTGCATTATAAGACGCGCGATATCGCCGGGCGCCGGGCAACCGCCCGTCCGACTGCACGCCGCTCTGGTGCCCGAGCAAAAGAATAATCGCGAGAGAGACTGAGACAGAGAGAGAGAGAGAGAGAGAGAGAGTGCGGCAGCAGCATCAGCAAAATGATATTATATACCTGTGTGTGTGTGTGGCATGAGAGAGTTTCAGCGTGCTATGGATGCGGCAGCAGCGGTAGCATAATATATAAAAGCCAGCGCCCATGAGCGCAGATCGGAGCAATTTAAATAATTCCGAGAACGACCCTGACCCCCGCTTGCGCCTCCTTATATACATGTATGCTGCAGTGTGCAGGTATAAGAAGTCTGTGTTGGCCAGTAGCAAAAGCCAGTAGCTGACCCGACGCTGTTGCTGCGTTGTTTACATACATACACACACACGCGCGCTCCCGGTGTGTCGGCGTCGGCGGCAGCGGCCGCGAGGAAGAATTGTGCAGTAGCAGCCATGTATGTGTAGCAGTAGCTGCTGCCGGCGTCGTCGTCGTCGTCGTCGTCGTCGTTGTTATATCGCAACTTTTCTGCCGCTGCGCTACTGCCTTGCGCGCAGATTAAAATCACAATGGACTTTTTCGAGGGTAAAACAGGTAGCTACGAGTACAAATGTAACTAACCTACTATGCAAACTCTCCTGCGCGTCGAGCTCTCTCTCTCTCTCTCTCTCTCATCTCTTTTAGCTCCCCTTGTAACATGCACAGAAAGAGAGAAAGAAATGAGAGGAGTCGCGCATATATTAAAGCAGCGTCTTTCTCCTTTGCACAGCTCCTTTCTATCTTTACTACACATACAAGCAGCATAAGCCCTTTATATATAATAAATATGTATCTCTGTGTGTGTGTGTGTGTGTGTGTGTGTGTGTGCACGGCTTGTGCATATGTACACGAGGTTGTATTCTCGCTTCGTCGAGTCCCTTATTGGTGTTTTTTTTTCTCAATGCGCGTCGCCCGTTCGTTGCACTGCAGGCGCGCGCGCGCGGAGCACATCTTCTTCCTTGGCAGTCGCGCGCGCGCAGCGCTCAATATTCTGCATACATATACGTACACTTACTCAAGGTCTTTATAGCAGTAGTGAATCTCAGCCGAAAACAACGGGTGGTCGTGTAATACGACGAGACTCCACGATCTCGCTGCCACACAACCACAACAACAACAACAACAACAACAACAACGGCGACTCGCCGCCGTCGCTGTATATTCTGATTATTAAACAATATTACTCTGCGTGTCAGGTACTATATGTATGCATAATGCGCCACTGACAGGCAGCGAGCGGCCGCATCCTTCTACGTCTCACTCTTTCTCAGGGCGCACGATCGATTATGCAGTCCCGTGGCTGCAGCAGCAGCAGCGGCATAAGTCGCTGAGCGGCCGAGGCTTATTAAAATCTCGCGGCTCGACTCTTCTTTTACACATGTATTATGATTTCGCAATATAGCCGCATTGACTCGGTGATGTTCGAGATTCGCTCATTATGTGAGAGCGCAGCTGACCGATACCGCGGCGCACGGTGTCACCAAGCGCCGTCGTTCTTTTGCGTTCGCATGTATATGAAAATGAAATAAAAAATAAATAAATGAAAAAGTAAAGGTTCGATCGAGCGATGATAGCGCGCGCTCAACTAAGCTCGATAAGAAATTTCAACTGCAGCACAGTGCAGGTATATGAACGTGGGTAAATCGCGGCATATGCAGTTTTTCTTGAAGCTCACGTAGCGCATGCGCATATCGGTACATTCGCATTATATGAAAAAGAGAATGAATATAATTATTGAACAATATGTTACAAAAACAAAAGTATGTTCGAAAACAAGACAGGTTAAATTATGATTTTAACTATTATGGAATATGGATGAAATCTGCGAGGCAAGTTTCAATCGATGCACTTCATTTCTGCAAAATTCTGGAATAAAAAAATTAATTCACGATAGCCCGGACGGATTCTCACGAATCTTTAAGAATTTGCGTGCATGCGTGAATATCCGAGAGCGCATACATAGAACAGGCATCGACGGATTCGAAATATAGTCATGTAAAATGTCAACCCTTGACTTTCTCACGTTCGTAGGCCGCAAGAACCGATTTATTCGGCCTTCAAGACAGTTCACTCCAAGGTGTATCCATGTATAGTCGATTTAACGATTTGAAAAAAAAAATCAAATTACCATAAAAATGTGCGGTACAGACAGTGGTGTACATAATAGAAGCCCAAAGAGAGAGAGAGAAGTGCAGCGTAGCGGTGCGCGAGCAGTTGCCTGAGAAACATTCGCGTACGAGAGGCGAGTAGTAGCACCGGTGTAGTGGTGCGCCTTCGAGAATACGGCGGCACATAATACGCGCGTCTCTGTGGATTTGCGACACATATGCTAATGATGCAAATCGCTGCATTATGGTACCTATGCTCTATAAATACGCACGTAAATGCACGTGCGCCATAATATAGGGCGAAAGGTGTTTGCGTAAGATATATTATATTATGGAGGGACAGTTAGCGCACCGGGAACGCTCGCAGAAATGCGGATGGCATTTATGCACATAGGTCTTCTTCGACTTTGAGAGATAAGCCAAGGAATATAGATCGGATTCGGCTATGTCGGGAAATTTCCTTGGGAATGATTGCTTTGTGTTGTTTAAGCATTGACGTTTGGTTGGATCTATCATGCATGGAACTTTCGAGTGCGTATGTAACAATTAAGTTACTGGCAAAATATTTTTTTTGTTACTTTAAAAAAATTCAACCAACGAAATGATATGTAAATATAGATTATTTATTTGTAGGGTATAAAGTGGTCGATAGATACAACGACCCTCTTTTATGTGAATTAACATGTGCGAAAAAGAAAAAATCTCCCAAAGTTTCAATTATTACCGAATGGAATAGTCACGCGTTTGTATATAGCGTCGCGTATAAATATCAGTACATTTGAAATACCTTATCGTGCATGAATACTATGCCTTTTTTATTTTTTAAAAAAGTTTGTCGTAAATTAGAGAAAAGAATAGAAAATAATAATACGAGTTCACGCATTGACTTCAAAATTCCAAGATATTCACGGCCGAGATTTGCTCGATCTTAATGAATATCGACGAGTCCGGGAAAAACCGTTGACGAGCGTAATACCGCGAATTATTACGTAGGGCAATCACCTCAAAAGGTGCAGTAAATGTGGCATCGTGTCGGTCGAACGACGAACCGAAGAACACCTTATAGGCTGTATAACGTCGAAGTAAACAATTCACGGCAACAACGGCCACCACCACCACCACCACCACTACTATTATAGCACCTTAGAATTTTGGGACAAATGAGTGTCGCGGCCAATACGCATAATATGCGCCTTGTCCTCTTTCGTAATATACCACCATGTAGGCGAGTGTTGACGACGACCGCCAAGGCTCTAAACGCCCGGGACAATAAAACGAGAAAGCCACGTGCCGGCACTTGATGTCGCTCGGCAGATGATTAAGCTCTTTCTCTCTCTCTCTCTCTTTTTCTTTCTTTCATTCTTTCTCGCTCGGCAAAAGATATGCAAATTAGCACCGCTCTATTTCTCGGGCCCGGCCGGCCGGCCGGCCTCGCACCCGTAAATAATGACCCATGCCGGTGATTATGCCGCGCCGCCGCGATATTAAGAGCCAAGACTCGAGGTCCTTAAGTTTTCGTAGCCCGATGCCAGAGAGTATTGTTATTTGTATAATAACAATAATGATAATAATGCGTTCGAGGCGTGCGAGCGCGCGTAATCTGCGCAAGAGCAGACAGGCAGCACGGGCTGCTGTGAATATTGTTTTGTTACCATAATATAAGGGATATTTATGTGTGTATAAGGTCAAGGAGAGGGGACGACGCTGCTGACGGGCCCCGGCGCTCCGATGATTTCTTAATAGGTTCGACCGCGGCAGGTAATTAACACTGCCGCTTATAATATATAACGCTCGGAGAGCACCGGATCAAAAGCCTCTTCAGCCTCTCCTTCTCTCTTTTTGCTCTCTCGTGATCCCTTATTGTGACCCCTGCTTGGCACAAAACACAAACGCACACACACAAACACACATGCGTGCGCGTGAACAAGCGCTTATTCTTATTAAGTAATTATTAATGACACGCGATCCACTTGCGTCTCTCTCTCTCTTTCTCTTCTTCTCTGCTGTGGGCCTGCTGCACAGCCGTCGTCATGACACTTGGAATACGACACGAACGCCGAGCAACTACGGCTCGTATTAGCACACACACACACACACTCGAACGTGATGCAAGGGCTACTGTATAACAGTCGCTCTCTAGGCGCCTGTATTATGTATACATAAACACATGCATATCACACAATGTGTACACGATGCAACTAATAACGTTTATGTAATAGGGGTGGTCATGTTGCATAATCACTTACCTCGGGATCGCAGGACGCCGGCCGCTCGAAATAATAAATTTTGCCGAGCTTCTCGTACAGGTTGGCTTTTTCGTACAGAGCTCGGAAGGGGTTCTTGGTGCTGAAGAAATCAAGATCGATGTCCAAGATGTACGGCATGTCCTTCTCGGGCAGGTACTTGCGCAGAATCGAGCCGACTTTGACGAAGTCGTCGACCTAGAACACGAGAAACATCGTTGCGAATTAGTTCATTTCTTCGGTTATAATGATCACTTTTATCGACGTATTTTTGTATGTGTGCATGCATGTACGAGAGATTTGTGTGAATTTTTGGAAAAAAAGATACATAGATACATAATTTTTAACCGTCGAGCGTTACGCGTTATAAAAAACTTTATTCGTAATAACAATAGATTTGAGGTTAAATGCAATACCATCTTCGAGTCGACTTGATTTTGAATTGCTCTTCATGTAACCGTTTCGTGAACATATCGATTCTTTGTCACCGAACTTTTTTGCCACTAAACACTTCAAAAGATTAATCAACTACAACACACTCACTAAAAAATGAACGTAAGCACATAAGCACTTCAACACTAACCATCTTTCGATTGCCAACACCATCACTGTAACGCACAATCTCGACCTTTTCCTCGACCACTGCGTCGTATTTTTCGAATACGAACAATCTGTTTCACTACTGGACTTTATAGACCTAAACGGAACACGAGCAAAGCAAAAAACGAATACGTATACCAAAAAACCTCATTGTAACGCCAATCGTTCGATTGTTACACCACCACGGTAACGAATGCTCATGACTATTTCCCTCCTTTGGTCGTCTTCGTTCGAGCACTCGATAACAGTCGTAACTGTTACTAACTATCGGAGTCGCGTGTTTGCGGACGACGTCCCGCACCAAAACAATGTCCATGTAAGGGATACGAGATAGTAGACGATCGCGCTGCAACGAACTCGACTCGGACGCGCGTTCGATTTCAAAATCGACCGTTGGCCGGCTACTGCCGCGTCGCGCGGGATCAGTTTGGAGTTCGGTCGATGACGCGCTTGAGATATCGAAGGTCGCGCTGCGCATGCATTCGATATACGTTGTTTACGTGTTTAGTTGTGCCTGCGTATGTGTAATATTTTGATATTATGCGTGAAGGTGCGTGTGCCGCGCCATTTTGCTTATGGACGTCCGAATTGCGCAGCGCAGTGGCATACTATTTTCGCGCGGGCATATTAGAAAAATAAAAGTAAAGGATGGCGCCATCGTAGAGGCAAATGTTTTGCACTACTGCGAAATACTGGAACGAGACGCGTATATTTCGGGCTCTCAGCTACACGGGTTGACGCGCCATACAACGTAAGTAGAGACGACTTTGTTGTAAACATGTATAACTCTTAGCGGCTCTCTTTCTCTCGCGCGCGCACTACAGAGATAGAGAGACCAGCCGTTTTTATCGACTTTGAAGAAAACGACTCTGTTTTCCACCCAAAAGCCCCGCCGGGGCTTGATGTATGCCCGCTTGAAAATGCAGTAAAAGTCCGCGTATTAAACCACACAGATGAAAGAGCACCATAGGATCTGTCTACGTGTGCGTGTGCATAGATATACCCAGTAGTGAAATAGACAGTTCGTTCGAGGCACACGAGGGAACTCTTTCGTGCGCGGCCGCGAGATATTACATTCGGTCTCTCTTTCGGCGCCATGCCAGCAAAAAAATCCGCGCACAATACGACTTACATACATATAACTCTCCATATCTTTCAGAGTCTCTTTGCAACCTGTTTTCCACTGGTGCTTAATAAAAAATACGTCACGCGGTCGGAGTGAAAATACCACGAAGTTGGAAAATTACCATCAAATCTGAAGTTTGAGTTAGACATTTTTGGTTAATTTTTCTCTAGCTAAGCGAGTGCATTAATACACATTTTTGTTCTTCCTGAACATAATTTAACATTTGAGAGATGCTCGATCGTGTTTTGCGTTACCGTTGAAACAAAAGCCGTTGAACAACGGACAAATTCGACAAAGCACCCCGAAGTCGCTGTCGATTACACGTCGACGCTAATGAACGAAGAAGACGTTTTGTACATGCGGGGGGCTCTAAGGGTGTTATACAGTCACAGATTAGCAGTGCATATAAGAATAATCACACCCGGCGATTCAACGGCACATCAAGTGTAAAGCTCGAGAGAGGGTCGCGATCGTCATCGCTGCCGTCCATATATACATTATTACAGAAAAAAGAGTTGCAGGCGCTCGGCGCGCTGTGCGATATATATCACGTCTATATTATAATAGCTCTCGTCGCGTCGTTAATTGAAAGCGTCGTTGCAGCGGCTCATTGTTCGCGGCTATACGGCATTGCGCCGAGCGCAACGGCTGGAAATCGCGCGCCCAACCGACGTAGTAGAAACAATGTATGCTGCTGCTGCTGCTACTGGGCGCGTGTCTGTGTGCACTCGCAGCAGCGGCAGCAGCAGCTCAGCAGATGCACCGCGTCAATCGAGTCTTTGTTTCTCCGGGGCGGCACTTTATATAATGCGCGATGCATGTGTATACGTGCGTGCTGTGTGCGCTTATATAGTAGTCGAGCCTCGAGAAAAGCTCGTATCTATATATGCAACGGCGGCGACGACGACGACGACGAGTGTAGGAGCTGTGCGCACGAAGAGCCCCGCAGATGTTGCAAACGCGTTTGTGTTTGCCTTTCTTTCAATTTCTTTTTTTAATTGCAATCTCGATTGAGCGCCTATGTGTGCGCTGTAATACGACTGCAGGGCACGAGGATCGTCGTCGTCGTCGTCTACGTCGTCGTTGTTGCCCGAGTGCCGCGCACAATGATGTGCCAACGCAAACACGCACGTATATGCTACGCGCGCAGCGGAGCTCCGAGGCCTCGGCGGCGCTGGTGCATTCAAATTGCCAAGAGCTTCGTCGCTCGCTGTGACGACGACTCCTATACACACACAAGCGCAGTAATCCGAGCTTCCGACGCAGCAACGACTAATGACTCTTTAGTGTTCACGAATCGCAGTGCGTGTCGCACGCGCGCGTGCGGTGGCGTCGTCGTCGAGCTCAAGCTGTCCCCGCGTAATCGTTTCTTGTTTATACACCAACATATTACGCACACACGTTCGTGAGCATCAATCTTGTTGCAGTACAGTCACGTATGTGTGTGTGTGTATGTGGATGTGTGTGTGTGTATAATGTGTATAATAATTGAGCCGATCGAGAGCTACGTGCGCGAGACGTCGTGCAATTTTTCGAGCGAATTGCGAGGCACGCGAATCGCGTCTAGTATGCGTGAATCTTTCGGGGAATCATCTCGCTAATTCGTTTGTACTGCACTAAGGTTTGAGCTTTTAGCCGTTCATTAGGTAATCGAGGCTGACCGTTGATCTTCGCTGAGACGTCGTTACATGCAAGGTCGATCGAAACCAACACCGACCAGGAGAAAATATGAAGCCCTTTTTTCTTTTAAGCAAAAAAAATCATGAGTAGAGAATGGGCTGCAACGGCTACATGTGAAATTCATTGTGTTATAAAAATCGGATGCCTATTCTTTTCGTTGAATAAAATAACGATGAAAGTATTGACCCGATGAAAAGACAATATTTGTTCTTACTTAGAGCAAATGAATAAACTCAATTGCTTTTGAGATTTTTCATCTTTGCTTAACTTTCTCACTTTCAATTTAATACTATTATATGACATTTCTCTGTCATGCGCAGGTGGGTCACGATATTGAGCTTTTTCATACATGCGTCGATATCAGCCGTACAAGATAATCCATCAACTTGGCCCGTGTTGTCCACAGCAAATTATCATCCATCGCCGCCTCGAGAAACGTGCCTGAGCTAGTCTCGCTTTTAAACTTTTGCTATTTAGATGCACAGGGAGTGCCAAAGGCGCGCATCATTTGCCAAAGTGCGTTTTATTTTTTCGCGTGTCAAACATTCTTTTGCTTACTGCATTATTTTGTAAGCTGCTCATATGAAACACGAGAAATTTCTGATGTACGGGACAGCGCCTTAACTTGCATAATGCGGCTCTATGTAAATTGAAAAATTTCCCGCAAAAAATTTCATAGAAAATCTCTCTTGTGTCAACCGTCTCACGTTAAGCTACGTTAAATTTATTTACAGTCATATATTTATTAATTTAAACACTTAACTCGTGTGTTCAGAGCTCTTGCACTTGAACCCGCGGACGGGGACGGGCTTATATAGTTTGTTCATTCGATTGTCATTGCAGTGACGAATTTTTAAATGTACTGAAGTTACCGCAATTTATTTATTCCCGATCTTTCTGCATGAAAAGAGAATCGTTGTTGCAAAAGTCATTAATAAAACCGTTTAATACAAAATATTTGTAAAAAATTCAAAAAATTTCAAGCGAAAGCCAGCCAATTTTTGACTGAATTATGCTTTTTATAATAAATAAACATAATGAGTTTTGTTTAGCTCAACGGTTTTTTTTTCATACCAAAAAATTGCTTTCTTTTATGTTTAATATTTGAAATCTTTATCCGAATTTAAGAGATAACTTCACAAGAAGAAGATCTTGCTATGTAACTGCCGCCGAAGCCTGCACCGACGCGCGCACTGCACTGCCCAACGAGGTTCAATTAATTAACGTGTATACGCTGTTAAGAAGGAAAATACAAAGAGAGATACGACGAAAGGGCAGAGTACGTAGGCATTACATTGTAGTAAGGCAGCGGCGGCGTCGGCGGTGAAAGCTCCGAGCGTAAATTTTTTAACCGAGTGCGCGTTATTGCCAATTACGAGTAATTCAAATGAGTCACTTCGTCGAGTTAAAAATAATCGAGAGCGCGTAAGCCATTGCTGGCAATTAATGTCAATGCGTAATCGAATAAAAGGCGTTGTTCGCGACTATTTGCACTCTAATTCCACGGCAGGCCATTAATTTACGACCCTCCCCCTTATAGTGGCGTTTTCTTCACACTTATAAATCGATACAATATATAACTTGATTATAAGTCAGATTAATGGCAAATAAATAATCTATGAGTTTGGGCAAGATCCATGACCCGGAGCTGGGGTGGTCTCCTTGTGAAAAGCTTCACTAGTGACCGCTAGGTGGTGCAGCGCCGGCACCCACAAGCTACTAATCTCCGCCAGGGGTTAAGCCCATATTCCAGACAGAATCCAGGGCTATCTTGGCGGGTTTAGAATATGCT